TAGCTTCTTGTTACTACTAGTAAGGCACTTGTTACTAGAAGCGATGCACTTGCTCCTAGTAGCTTATTGCTTCTTATAGCTTTTCAGGTACGCTGGTGGATGGACTTACAGCCAAACACATGACATTCATACCTGGACCCGAGGACTAGTACCCTAGCAAAATGCGACATGATCCCTTAAAAGATCTTAAAACAAAACATACATGCATGTACGAACAAGTCAACTCGGGTATATGTGTGTAAATACAGTCTTAGAGTTTTCTTGCGCGTGGAAAAACCTGTTGTTTGCACATGAGTGGAGAGTAGGATCTCAAATCCAATCGACCAGCACCCTCTAAGAGCCCCTGGATTTATCTTGCGGATCGGGTGATCTTGATGTTCCCAAATGTGGTCAATCCCCTGACATGTGTTTCATTTTCTTTTTCAAGGTTTCCCAGTTCCTGGACAGGAAATCCAAGTCCAAATATATTAAGAACATGGGACCAGCACCTTTCGTTTGGCGTCAGATTCCCCCAAGATGCGAACATAGGTTCCAAGACCGAAGAATGATGACCGTATTTACGAAACAACCCATATATGGATCATATGGTTGTTCTCTTCATATATCTTCAGACTATAAGTATATTTCCCCACCTGTCAGGTGAGGGTTGTTACATTTTGTGTCAGCTACCGTCGTCCTCCTCGTCCTCCGCCTCGTCCTCCCCCTTCAGACCTCAACCGCCAGCTCTGGATGGCAGTGTTCCCCGCCGGACCTCAACCGCCAGCTCCGGACGGCAGTGTTCCCCGCCGGACCTCAACCGCGAGCTCCGGATGGCAGTCTTCCCCGCGGACCTCAACCGCGAGCTCCGGCTGGCAGTGTTTCCCATGCCGGACCTCAACTGCGACGGTCGCGCCCCACCGGACCTCCACTGCGAGGGTCGTGTGGCAGCGTTCCCCCGCCGGACCTCCACCGCGAGTCAGAAGATATGCCAGATAAAGCGCCAGAAAGAATGTCAGAAGATATGCAGAAGATATGCCAGATAGAAGATAGGCCAGAAAGCTTGTCAGAAGATATGCCAGATAGAATGCAAGAATGAGTGTCAAAAGCGATGCCAGAAAGAATCTCAGAAAGCCAGAAAGAATGTCAGAAGATATGCCAGAGAGAATGTCAGAAGATACGCCAGAGGGACTGGCAGAAGACTTGCCAGAAAGAGAATGCCAGAAAGATCCAGAAAGAATATCAGAAGATATGCCAGATAGAATTCCAGAAGATATGCCAGAAAGCATATCGCAAGCGATGCAAGAAATGTCAGACAGAATGTCAGAAGATATGCCAGAGAGAATGCCGAAATAGTGTTTCAATTCATGCCAGAAAATTTGTCTGTTGTTGGGGATCACACAAAGTAAAGCAACTTTGACTATTTATACTATTTTATACTAGCTTATACTTAATCATTGTATACTCTGTGTCTGGAGTCTTCAAAGTAACTGGGAAAAACGGTATATAACTTCTTTTCATGAAAGCAAAAGGAGTCATGTCACACCCATTTTCAAACGTACATTGGAGGTCCAACTAAATAACGATGTGCAGTAATACTCTGTAAACACAGGTACTTCTGACCACGATCCGTGCTCGGACTATTGTTAAGGTGCCCAGAGGGGTAGAGTTGGATGCTTGTCCCGCAGAGTGCACCTCTAACCCGTAGTCTAGTGTCGGTTTCTGCTTCAGGAGCAACTCTGGAACGCCATCCTAGTGAATGGCGGCGATGAAGAGGCATCGACGTTTCTGCCGGGCGCCGGGCGGGTTGTTGTGTTAGTAAAAAGTGGGGGGGGTTGGTTTCACCATGGCGATGTATTTGGCATCTTTGCCGCAATTCAGCACCTTCAAATGTTTGTTCAATGAACGCATGCGCACCCTTGGTTGGACAGACAGAGAGCATTGTGTCGCATCGTGCACGCATTGTTGGTCGTGCATCAAGACTGTATGCCATAGGGCCCAGGTAGTTCCTCCGTTTCAGATGGTCTTTGAGGTGAGTGCGTATAGAGTTTCAGTTCATAGGGGCGTGTCCCATTTTCTAGGGTACGGGCGAGTTGTCAGGTCCAGGTACTTCCAGAGAAAGGTCGAACTGAAGTGAATCTGGAAGGAAGAGGAGGAGAGGAAACAAACACACAAAAAACATGATCATGCAAGGCAACTCGGGCAGCAAATCCAGCACCCACGGGTTTTTGAAAAGGTGTTGAACCCAACAGCATTCAACAGACAGCATCCAACTCGGAAGGCCACAATACACTGTGAAACGTAGCCACAGGGGTGTCGGGGTGTCTATCCTTTAACCTTCGGTTAAAACCAAAGGCGATGTGCTGAGATCTTTCACACGACACTTTCACACGACACCTCATGAAACCTTTGGTTTCCGAAGGCCATCCGATCACATCCATTTACCGTACCTCATTTATGACCCTGAAAACATTGAAAACGTCACCATTCCATGACATAGATGATGTATAGGTTTGGACCTTTTGATTTGGACGGTCTAATTCACCTCTTTGGGACTTAGCCATTCAAGCTTACCGTCTCCTGTAGGGCGACCGGCTGAGCCGAGCTGTCTCGGGGAAAGACCCTAGACCAAAACCCTGCAGTCGGGCTGGTTCATGGACACCCTCAATGTGGGCGGGGGATGGGCTTATCGATAGACACCCCAAATCGGTGGCTCTTGGACTGAGAATCGCGAGCGTTCACATCACCAACTCTGAGTGATCTTTGCCAGCTGGACCCAACTTCCTCCGCTGGAAGATGGGACATGGCCGGAAGAACAAAACAGGTACGACCGACTGTACCCATTTGCCACTCGAGTTTCCAGGTGCATCGAGGTATTGAATTCAACCACTTGACAAACACCATGAAAAGGAACAACTATTCTGTCCGAACGCACCGATGCAGTCAAACCGGTCGCCAGGAAAAACCCACCGTATATGAGACTTGGCGGGCGCGAATCGCGTGCAAAGCGTAGGGTGGGTTGACTTAGGGTCAATGGAGCCATAATTACATCCTCTAAGCATCATGGGACCCTGCCATGGAGGGCTTCGACCCCTGCTGTCCTGCTGGGGTTTGATCCCTGAAAGCACCTTCAGGGGTCTATGATTCTTAGGGTGGATTGGTTTGGGGTATGATTAGGGTAGGATCTGGAGGTTGGAACTCGATGGATGTATGTTGTTCGTGGCCAAATCCTTGGCAGTGTAGTGTTGGGAGGCGTGGGATCTCTTGATCGTACGGTAGAGAGGATCGCTGTGAATGGGATCTGAGGCTCTGCGAGGTTCTTTGGCCCGAATTGCGGGGCCAACCCCCAAAAAATTCGACATCCACTATGAGTCACTGTGTCTTTTGGGCGGCATCTTCACACATTCCAACTGTTCTGTCCTGTTGGGATCTGTTGAGAGACATGTGGCCCAGGGTAACAGTTTGATTAGGCAATTTGGAACGACCAGTTCGTTTGACATGAAAGGACCACCAAGACATGCCTAGACCTAGATTGATTCAACACATGACCGTCTAAGTTGGTTAGATGGATGTCTATGAATTGTTAAGTTAAGTAACATTCCAAGTGTTTGGAGTATGAATGTGTGATCATGTGTTCATTTAGGATGATGTGATCAGCTTTGCGGCATGTCCGTGTCCCTTTTGTTCAACATTAGTATGTGGAACAAAGGGTCACCAGTCAACTGGAGTGTGAACAGAGGCTCCTGGTCCGGAGCCCTAGGACCTAGGATTCTCATTCAGGGTTCCGTCCCTATACCTCCTGAACTCGGTAGTTGGAGTGGGTTGGAGCTCGGGATGTTTACATGCCTTGGAATCATCATGGAAGTAGAAGGTTCACGTAGACCCCCTAGGAAAACCATATAAGACCCCAGTTTTGGGGTCTACAATGAGGCCCCACCACATTTTTGGTAGAGGAACATGGTCATCCTTTTGGGGTCATGCCATCCAAGTGACCATGATTCCAGGGAGTGTAACTACTTGGACCCGAAACAAAGAACCCGCAGAAAATGGAACATGACCCGAACAACAAAAACACAGGTACTTCTATACCCATTTTCGGAGGTACGCCAGATATGCGGTAGAGGCTGAAGCCCTAAGGAGTGTTGCACAAAAGACCCTTTGCTCTGAGGATTGGGTCATGCACGTGGGCGGCTCAGGGGAGAGCTGGTGCCGTTTACACCGCAACACCTGCTCAGGCTCCCTGAGTTCGATGGTTTCCGATACACTATGACGGATCAAACAGTTATGGATCGTTGAATTTCTGATTAAGGACACTCACATTATGTTGAGCTCTTGCAGGACCATTTGATGGATAACCTTGGAATGACATCTATGAATTCTGGTCGCTTCCGGGGAGTGTTGGTCGCGAAGGACCCTGGTTGATCACCGAACATGAAGAGAACAGCCAGACTACCAGACATGGTTAACCTGCCAGGGTTTGCGGGCCTCCAGCTCTTGACTCACGGCCATGTAAACCTTTCGAGTGCTTTTGTTTGGCCTCATATATGAGGCATTTACAAAACAATGTCATGGGATCGCTGGCGTAGGAATCAGGATCGACTCAAAGGATCCAAACGATACTTGGATACGCTGCTTTGAAGGATCGACTCAAAGGTTCGGGTTCGCTTTAGTTCGCAGGGTCAATGGAGTTTGTAGGGTCGAATGATGGTTAAGGTTGGGAATGTGTGGTCCCCAAAGAGATAGAAACGGTTTCCAGTAATGAGACTCCTATAGCGGGAATCTACTTATCTGTTTGGGGGTCTACTAAAAGCTGCTGGCTCTACACAAAGTCTCCAGGTGTACCCGATACCATGGGCTTCAACTAGCTCCGCTTCGGTGGTGGGGGCAGGTGGTTTAGGGATTGTCCCTACCTTCTGAGGGGACTGGTTGGAGTGTGAGGACCATGGCTCCATGGGATATGGCCGATCTCGTTTGGGCTCCATGGGATATGGGACCGTCCCACCTCCTGGCCCGACCCAGTGTATAATGTTGAACCGTTTTGAAGCATTGGAGACACCCCACCGCCAAACCAAGAACAGGTGGAAGTCCGCAGGTTCGCGGTATGACCACAACATGTGGTTGGAGTGATAGAACAGGTGGAAGTCCGTTCACCCAAGAAAGGTATGCCACGGATCGAACCCCTCGGATTCCTCAGAGATTAGACAGATTCTCAACAGATGTACTGCAGCCTGAGGTCATCTCCGTCTTTTGGAAGGTGATCTTCGCATTGATCCCACCGCCGGACCGTCGTGCGAGCCAATGGCTGGAGCGAAACATGGACATCCTGCAAGCCAGTGGACCCACAAAAAAAGAATGCCTCATTTTAGGGGAAAACCATGACACATTCCATGAAGAACTTGACCTGATTCACTTCTTCAACTGTATGCCTGATTCCAACGTTTAACGTGTTGGATCCAGCAAAGATGGACACTTCACTCATTTGACTTCCGAAACCAAGAAAAAGAACGTCCTAAACCGCAACCCCTCCGCATGGGGTCACGGGTCATGATTTGCGTGGAGTTCCACTCGCTGCTACCAGGACTATTGCGGTGGCTGGGCATGTTTCTTTTGCTCCCTCGGAATGCGCCTTGCAGAAATGCGTCTCCCGCGTCGACCGATCAGACCGGACATTCCGTCACCGGAATCGGACACATCCGGTAGGCGTCTTCGCTTGATGTGACCGGAATGCTGTACATGAGCCCCATTGAAAAGGATTGAACAGGTATAGATAGAAACGTGGCCCTGAATCTGTCCAGTCTGACCCAGTAAAACCTGGTGGAGCTCATTGAATGATTTAGTAGTGTTTTGTGCTGTTTTGTGATGCATGATCAACTTACATATCTTACCCTAAGGATCATTGGACCCTCCTATGGAGGGTTTTGACCCTGCATAGCAGGGGTTTGGACCCTCAAAACCTTCACCTTTGAGGGTCCTTGATCCGTAGGGTAATGTAAAATTGAGGTACCTCTGAACATGGGGTTTCTAGGTACCTGTGTTACTGGGTCATGTCACATGTCCCATTTTCTGGGGTACTTTGGATGGGACACGAACCATCGACCCATCGATCGTTGACACGTGTCCGGAGCGCATCTCACGGGCAAGTGTTTGATCCTGTGAAGCTTTTGACTTATGTAGTATACTCAGAACTTCCAATTGGGAGGCATTAAAGATCTTTAAACACACTCTATAAAATATATATATATATATACAGTTAATACTTGTTTTGTATTCGTTTTGTTTCCAAACTGGGAGTCATTCAGGATCATTAAAGACACTCAGGGATCATTCACCACGATCGAGCTTGCTGCACTATGATTGAGCAAGACACAGCTGATCAAAGCAATAGGCCCTTGAATCATGATAAATAGGTACCGTTTCAATATCTTGCTCTATATTGGCGAGGGCCCAACTAGAAGCATTTGGCAGATGTATAGATTGTTTTGCAGTTGCTTGAAATAGTTAGACAGGTAGATCCAGACTAAGAGACAAATCAACATTATTTATAATATACACATGTTATACGGAACAGACTTTGTGTTGTGTCTCGCGAGATTGTTGGCCAAAACTCCTGCAGCATCAATTTGGTGTAATGTCGTTCTGTCCAACATTCAAAATCATCTACTGTCGCTCCCGGTATACCTGCTCAAAGGTACGCTGTCAAAGATGGCACCATGACTCGAACAAAACAACAGGTATCACGGAGGGTCCAGGTATCTCCAGACACTCCATCGGACTGGAATATTTACCTGTATATATATATATATATGTATATTGACCATTGACCTGAAGTCAAGCACTGCTGGCGTGATCGGCGTGATCAGATAGATCAATAAACCTGGACTTGACGTCTCGTTCGTACCTTGGATCATGGGACCTGACCCCATCACAACAGTGGACGAACTCGGTGGAATCCAGATCGATCGCGCCACCGCGCCGCATGCACCGCCTGCTGCCTGTGCCCAGGATAGGTTTAGTCACCGCCCTGGTCGCGGATCTTGCAGGTCTTCTGGGCTGCGTGGCCGGGGCCCCAGGGAGATGCAGCGTCGCATGGCAAGCCAAGGGCAGCGAAGGGCCTGGGGCACTGGGGTCAGATGTGAAGTAACCAAACAACAACTTCTCCCAGGAGAGTTGGGGCACCAGCACCTCCTTTTAGGATTTCGGAGTCAGGCAGGTCTGCTGCAGGTCATTTCACGAGTGGTCTGCTGCAGTTCATCGGGTATCAACACGGCTCGTTTGTGATTTCCTTGTGAGTCAAGCTGGGGAAGCCCCTGACCTTGCGCCAAAAGCTGAAGAGGAACACAACCGACAGCTCAACTGGTCAATCTTCTTCCCAACCTGAAAATAAGTCCAAACATGGAATAGGTGTGTTATAATAGTTACCAGTATCATGATGATACTATTAAACTGTTGTATATGTGTATAGTTGTGTGACATTGTATATATATTATATACTATTATACATCCCCTTAAAATTCCTTTTATGTAATCATGCCACCTGGGTACTCCCCAGCAACCATTTTATAGCACTATAGAATCGAATCACTCAGGTTCCTCGATTCTAAAAGGAGACCACAGGATACCACGGGAAAGTTCCGACAAGGGTGCAATTTGACCTAGTTGACCTGGGGGTTGATTCTAAAGTGATAGAACCCTGAGATATGTGTTTCCGTGAGCTTTGTACTGGTGACATGGGGACTTTGATTTTTTGTGACAGACATGTTGATGGTCATTGAGTGATCATGATTCTATAGAGGAACAACCTCTGTGATTCTTTAGTGTTGAATGCTTCATATATAATTTCCGGGAGTTTTCAAGTCATGACATACGGGCTTTGATTCTATAGCGTGTGCATGAGTTGGGGGGCATGATTTCATAGAGACCCCCACATGGAGGGCGTCGATCTATAGTATGAAATTGGGCTACCCAAGTACCCATTTGAATTTCAGAGGGGATCTATTATACATATAAATATATATATATATACATAAATATGTATACATATATATATTTAAGTTTGACCTCATGTTGTTCTGGAGCTGATCATACAAAAACCCTGCACTCAATGACGTATTCAGGATGAGGAGACTGGACCTGAGTCAGACTTGACTTGTATAGGGATGGTTTATGGTGGAGTGCCAGACCTGGACCCGACATCCAAGGAAACCAGGGAACATGACCTCATGACCCCATTAAAACAGGTGCTGCTATATAAATATATAATATGGTGCTCGGCTTCGAGGAAAACACTTGCACATGTTTCCCAGGCATTCCGATTCCAGTCACATGGGCGTTGTTGCAGGTCGGCATGGGCGACGCGATCACGGCCATCACGCTGGTGTGGTGGCCCAATGGGCACGGGCGGATGCACAGCTGAACGGTGCGAGTGAGGATGGGAAGACCTTCCCGGAGACATTCCAGTGGCCTACCGGCCTACCCAATTGTTTAACCACGGATAACCAACCTTTAACCCTGTATTGTTGGGGTGGATGGGCCCTGGATATCCCTGGATGGGGTTCATTGGGTTTCACCTACTACAGAATATAGAATTTAGTTTCACCTTGATTGTACAATCAGCTAATTCAGGGTCGTCCCCGTGCGCGTTGAGCAACCGGACCATCCGTTTTTCATCTTTGAAGGTCGTGGACGATCATTCGAGTCGATCAAATAATAAGCAAAGTGGCTGGACCTGGACCCGACTTCCTTTGTACCCTAGAAAATTGGACATGACCCTGTTAAAACAGGTACTGCTATACACCCGGGCCTTCAAGGGGGTGGTTAATGGACACCCCGAATCACGGCTGTTTGGGGCTAATAAATAGACACCCCGACAGGAGGGTCCTGGTATAATGTAGTGCTTGGCTTTGAGGAATTTATAGATACCTAGAGTCTCAAAGTACCTCGGAAAAATTGTACAATTTTAACCCATGTTTTTAATAGGTGCATGTCCCGTTTTCTAAAGGGTACTTTGGAGGGTCCAGGAATGATTAACATCAATGACCCAACATTCTACAACACTCTGTAGGACAATCCAACCAGAAACAGCGGGGCCGTCGCGAAAGGACATATGCCGCAAATGATGCACCAGTAGCTACTGGTTTGAGCTGGGAAGGATGACAATGGTCGAAACATGTCCAAGCAACTCCGCTCAACATCAAAGGAATCAAAGGTCCATAGGGCTGCTTTTTATGCAATCAACGAATACCGCCAAATGTGGATTTCATACTGTAGGAAGCCAGCAGCAGTTTAGTTATATATATATATATGTAATGTACGTTATATATTGGATTGGATTTTATCGGATCTTTTTCTAACAGAATGCTTGATACTTGTTCAACAAACAGTAAATTGCGTTTGGGGCTCATAATATAGGTACACCATGGTACACCTATTTTACGATACTTTAAATCGTTTCTGGCATCTACATGTCAAACTACGGGGGGCATTTCATCCAAATAATTGCCTTCGAGGCCAAGACAAGTCATATTAAATACCTTTCCAGAGTCCCATTCAGTTACCCTTTGCAGCCGTTGTGGACTGAACTAGCACAGGGGGGAATTCAATGTTGATCAACTCGGAAAAGCAAAAAACAAGCACAGCTCGGAGCTACCAGAAGCCTATGGGCTCTGTCGTCTGAGCCAACAAACATCCCAACATACGCACAACGTCCAGCTCGATTGAGCCGCTCGCCGCTGGATTCGTTTGAGCACCACGGCATCAGGTGGCTCTGGGGACGTCGCTCCCTGACACCTTCGCATCCAAGACCGCGGCGCAGCAGGTGCGTGTTCCGCCCAGTCGTCCAGGGATCATGCCGGTGAAGTGGGTTCTTTTCCTTGAACTTATCATCATCATTATTGCTCATCATCATTATATATCATAATTGTTTTCGTCGTCATCATCATCGCCATCATTGTTGTTGTTTTTGTTGTCATCTTCATCATTAAACACTCATTGCATATTTATACAGAAACAAGTTCTTATTTTTCTGGGTTTCTGGTCAGGCTTCTTTTTGGAACTTCTCCTTTGCGGAATCCATACGGAATTCTTCAATTCTTCCTCCTTTCTTGTGCACCAGCCGTGTCCGGCGCGTGAGACAAAGCCATCCTCGCACACATCATGGCCCTTTCAGATCTGGTCCAAGCCGACATGGCCCCTGAGAGGACGACGTTTTGGTCCGGATCAAAGACCCCTTACAGGCTCGACCCCCTAAGCATCTCATGATGGATCGTCTTTGACTTCTACGGGGGTGAACTCGGTGTGAACCTTGATCAACTGAAACATTAGTTTCTTCCAGAGGAAGTGTTTTCAAAGCAGAAACGTTAAAGTTCAACAGAACACCACATGCCCAAGTCCTTAATGCCCCCATGCTGCGAAATCCGATCCAACTCTAGGACCCCTATGCAGATGCCTCCATCGGGAATATCACTGGGAGCAACTCAGTGAATGTCTTCCTGGGCCTGGGCCTGCCGGGGGCCTCACAGCGAAGCACGAAGAACCATCGGCCGCTGATTTTGCCGTCGGGTTGCTCCGAGTGGCACAGAGCATGTTTGGGTGTTCGTTGGACTTTTTGTGTGAGAGGCCACGTGTTTTGGGCATCTCAGAATAGCGGTTTAAATGGTCAAGAGGTGTCTTAAGAAATCGTGTGCAAGTTGAGAACATGCTATGATTTAACGCTTCGCGCTTCTTCTTGGCCGAACAGCCGATGATCCGTGCCCGAAAACGGAATGACTCAGGACCGGATGACCGGACGGGACCTTGGTCCGGGGCCGTGAAGAAAACGGCACCCGTCCTCTCTTCGGTTTCCAGGTCCACAACCACATGCGGATGACTCCATTTATATAGATTAACATGTTTGCTATTAGTTGTTTATAATTGTTTATATATATATATTATATATTCCACTTAGAAATAGACAGTACATATTTGCAATGAGTAACACCTCAAGACACCGCGTTCCCTCCAACCTGCCAACCTGCCATTGCTTCAAGGCCTTGGTCCATCGGTGCCATCTACTGGGCGGCGTTTCTTGGCGTCGAAGGAGTTCGAACTCGTCGACCATTAAACGGTCTAAGAGCTTTAGAAAGGAGTGAGAGCCGTGACAGCCGTGACTTGAGGTATTTTGAAACATTATCATAAAGTGTGGAAGGAGTCAGTGAGTTATCAAATGAATCTATAGAGGGGTGGATCTACTTCTCTACTTCTTTGTCGATGGAATTTGACAAAGGTCAAGAGGCCCTTTCGTTCGGGTTGGAAACTTCTTATTTGCCCAGTGAAGAACCTGTGGCTTTGGCTCTACCTGTAGAAGACCAGCCACTTGGGAAGTGTGCCCATCCGTTGTCCTTTGCTGAAGATAATGTTATCTCTATGTGGATTCACCGTCCGTCGCTGTGAGCCTTTGGTACTGTGGTGTTTGTAATAAGTGTGGACAGTGGAGTCCATTGTTCTAATCGTGGGGATACCGATGATCATCGATTCTAGGTTTGATGGGATTGAGGGATGTTTGAGCGAGATTGCCACATTTGGTGTTGCTTCTCTCCTCTATATGTTTGAAATATATATGGTGACAGTGACAACAGTGACTCGACCCTTTGAATTCACGCCATGAACATGAACACGTTCTGGGACACTGCCAGTGCAACAACTAGCAAAAACCTGGGCATGCTTCGTGTGTGTGTGTGGACATGTGAGGCAAGACTGCCAACATTCAGCGAAGGGCTTCTCTCTCCGTCTCAGACCAATTAAGCCCACACGACCGTAGGGAGCTGGGGGCAGGAAGCGAAACGAACGCCTCCGCCGGAAGCGCCGGATGAAGGGCATACCCTCTACCCAACTTCAAGTACCTTGGAAAATGGGACATGACGCAATGACCTAATTTAAACAAATAGACAAACAAACAGGTATATGTACAATTTTGTTTTCTGAGGTACGAGTGGGGGTCGATTCCAGGTCTCTAGGTAGGACAAACCCTTTGACTTATTGGATTGCTTATCGCCGTGCGACTCGCCGCGGGGTCGCCAGGGTTGGTCAGACCAACGAGTGGCGGGAAAAGTACGCCAAGGAGGCACGTCTGGACGTGCGTGGCGCGCGAAGCGGTGAAGGTGCAGGTCCAGTCATGTCCGACCCAGGAGAAGCAGGTCTTTTTTCTTTGGAGAAGCTGGGTGTTTTTGTATGCTCCAGTATTTCATGAGGCAAGGAACTCCTGACCTCTATCAAAACCTGAGCTGCAGGAGCTGCCACATCTTCCTAGGCGAGACAAGGATGAACCTCTACCAGAGCCCCCAGTCAGGGATGTTTCAGGGCCTACTAATGGTCACCAGGCCTACTAGGGGGCGAGCTGGTGGAGGACATCTCCCTCTTATAGGGATGTGGTTAATGGACGCCCCTTCGCTTATTGACATGATTCTAAGGGCCTACTAATGGTACTCTCAGGCTCAGGATGATTTTGGCGACGTTGGACACTTTGCATTTTCTTTTCAACTTCCAGTCTGTGCGGTCGTAACAGGAGGTCGTAACAGCCTTGGGCAACGGCCTTCCGTCACGATGACTTGGCTGAACTGGCTGGGACGAGGAAAGATCCAGGAGGTTCAAAGGAAATCAAAGGAATGTTAGTCCAACAAGTTCAGCAAGTCCTATCCAGTTCAGCAAAGGGACGATGGGAATGTTAGTGTTTGTTTATTTTGTAGTCTCATCCAGGGGCCGTGGATGTGACGTTCGGGCACCCCGTCGTTTTTTTTTCGTTCGGCCCTTTCGGGGAACTGGATGATGAGGTTATATTATTTAGTACTAGCTACTTGCTCCTAGTAGTAAGGCCAGGAGCCCCTAGTAGCGTTCTTGCTCCTAGTAGCGATGCCAGGAGCCCCGTTTGTAGCGTCCTTGCTCCCAGTTTCTGTGGGGCACTTATATCCAGAAGAGTGTCTTCCTGATCCCTGTCAGGAAGACATGTTGCTCATGGAAGTGGACAACCCCCATTGTTTAGAGTTCAAGGGCTCCCAGGGGCCACAGGAGAGACAAGTACCCGATGTGAACTGCAAGACGGACGGGTGTGGAGAGGTGTATGACATCCAGACCCAGACTATCCATGGGACTGGAAGACATATGCCCTACATTGACCACTCAAACTACCCCAATGTAGGTGTAAATATAATTAATATATAATATATGTATGGCCATATACATGGATAGTCTGGGAAGATAATGATAGTTCTCTAAAAATCCATTACCACCTTCTCAGGTTCGGTGCGACTGCACCCTCCAAACCTATAGAAAGGTGTCGATCACATCACCTGATCGAGAGGGTATTTGGATCCATAGGAGTTGGATACTACTCACCAGGAGACGGCCTCGGTCTGGCTTTTTTATACAGAGTGGTCGAACCTATAAGGCCAGCATGATCCCTCGGAAACTTTACAATCCCATCTTGAGCTTGGCCCATCTCAAGAATCTAAATCGCCAGTTCAATCATCCTTTGCAAAAATTACAAAACATACATCTGAACGCATTCTTATGTCGAATTCTGAGCCTGACCCAACCTTTTTGTGTGAGCTTGACTGATGTTTTGGCTTTCCGTCATTCCGCTTGGCCCAATGCCTTACCAGGGGACCCTTTTGCCGAATCTCCTTTGCAAGCCATGTGTGCTTGACTACGCTACGGCGCTTGAAGGAAAAGCTGGCTTGGTGCGCAGCTTTGTCAGAGGTTTCGGTACCTCTGTGGTTTGTTGGTGCTACAGGTTGCACTTGCATTGATTGGCAGTTGAGGTTGCCATACATTGGTACTTGGGGTTTCGCTCTTTTCACTAGAGGCTACCCTGCTACCGACACTGGTAGCGGAGCCTCCGGTCTTCGGACTGGGGGCACCGTTGCCAGGGTCGGTGGCTGACTGGAGGTTCAGGACTTTCTTGCATAGCAACTTGGCCTTGTCCCTTCGTTGCTGCCCACCACAAATCCAACCGGAGATCGAACATCGATCATTGATTGTGTGTGAAGGCACGTCAGCCACGACCGTTGACTTTTCCCTTGCCTTTGACCTGACGGACTGCTGAATTCAACCTTTTACATTGTGAGATGGCAACGATGATGGAGAAGAAGGAGCAAGTGGCCACGTGGAACGGTGACCCTACCACGTGGCTGGAATACGTGAAACGGGTTCGCTTGCAGTTTGAGCGAACAGAGAAGAAGAGGAGGTGCTTGTTGGGTGCAGAGCTTGCTTCGAGGCTCACGGGCCGAGCATGGGACATCGTCAGCGCTGAGGTCGATCACTCTCAGTTGCAGAAGCGTGATGGTGCTGCATATTTGCTTCGTTTTCTGGAAGAGCGTTTGTGCAAGGCACCTGTCCCGGATACAGGCCAGAGGCTGGAAGACTTCTTTCTTCGCCTGAGGCGAACACCTGGTTCGTCCATGGCAGAGTGGGCAACCCAGGTGAGAGAAAGTTACCGTCGACTTCAGCGAGCTATGGCACGACAGCGAAAAGACTTGGCAGACCGTGATGGTCAGTTGAGAGAGCGTGCAATGTCTTCGACTCACTCCAACCCAGGTCATCGTCGACAGTCGGATGTCACTACACCCAAAGCCCCTACAGCTTCAGTTGAGAGCGCAAGTCCTGGATTTCCGGCCACCGATTCTGGAAACGGCCAGACCGACAGGCCTGATGATCCAAGGGAGACAGATGAGCCCGACCGAGGTGCCTATGAGCGTGTGCCCACACAAGACCCTGGCTCCGATGCAGGCAATGATTGGTGGACCCAGGAGGAGTGGGACACGTGGCGGCGCAGAAACCGCCATTGGCGTCGAGACGATGCCATGTCATGGACAGCTTGGGAGGAGGATGAAGAGGAGGATCCGGTGATTGAGTGGGAACAATTTGATTTGGGCTCCGAGCGCATTTTACCGGATGAGATCCTTGGTTGGATCCTTTTGCGCAGGAGCGGCCTTCCAGCAAATGCTGGGTTGTCAGTGTTGAGCGCTACAAACAACAGGTTGGACCTTGCATCTATGGAGCGTGCTATGCGTGACCAGGAGGAGGAGTTGTTGGCCGCCGAGGCCCATCGCAGTCGCGGTGATTTGCCCCGACCTCGTCGATCGTTTTGGGTTGAAGAGGATGCACATTGGGGCTTGTTGTCAGAAGTTGACATTGAAGATGTTGATGACAATGTGTTTTGGGTTGGCGAACGACTTCCCCCTGATGTTTACAGTGCTCCTGTTGATGAGAGCAGTGCCTGGTCGACTTGGCTCCCTGATGGCCAAGAGCTAAGCTGGGAATGGCATGAGGATGATTTCTATGCCTCCGATGCTGCAGGAATCTTTTGGTCCTGGTCAGAGACCAAGACTTGGTTGGATATGTGCGATGCCCCGACCTCAGATGGAGATCCCCTGCAAGAGGCCTATGCGGCCTTTCAAGATCGTTTTCGAACATTCAAAGAGAGCCGAGCACTCAATTCAGCAAAACATTTGTCCAGAGGTTTTTACCCCCTTGGTCAAATGAAGGGTAAGTTCATGCAAGCCAAAGGAAAAGGGAAGGGAAAGTCTAAGACCAAGAATCCCCCCAACAGTTCTTTGGCCACCAGCACGGCTGCACTCTATGCTGGAGGGGCGAAAGGAGCTCCATCAGGGCAGAAGCCTGGCAGTCCGACCTACAAAGGTTGCTTTGTTTGTGGTTCTCAGGACCACGACTTTAGGCGCTGCCCCAAGAGACAGAGTTCTTCCAGCACAGGAGCTCCGGCCCGATCTCTCTATGCTGCAGCGGTGTTCATGGTCAGTTCTGAGCAAGCTGACGAGATTGCTGATGTGACCTTTCCCACCGGAGATGTTCTTGCGACTTTGGCTGCCCAATTTCCTGGCCACGCAGTGCTGGATTCCGGCGCGACGGAATCGATCGCTAGCTTGGAGGCAATGCATGAGGTCATGGAGTTGCGAGCCTCGATCCACGGTCCTGAGCATTTTGTAGTGCATGCTCAACAGAAACGTTTCCGTTTTGGAAACGGGAGCATCCAGCACGCAGTGTCTTTTGTAGAGCTTCCCCAGATAGTGGCAGGCAAGCATGTGAAGCTGGGCGTTCACGCCCTGGATGCACCGGGCATTCCTTTGTTGCTGTCAGTCAAGACACTGACGACCCTCCGTGCTGTGATAGATTTTGCTGAAGGCCTGATCTGTTTCAAGGAGGTAGATCCTTCAGTTTGGATCAAGCTGAAACGAGCATCCAACGGCCATTTACTTTTGGACCTCACCAAAGACTGGCTTTCTGACCGGCCAGATTCATGTCTCACGGTGCACGACTTGCACGACCCTGAGCCCGCTCCGATGTACAAGGCCGCACTTGCTGATGACACCACATCATGTGAGAAGAATGTTTTTGAGAATGTTCATACCACTCCACCGACACTCCAAGAGCCTCTTCACGATCGGCATGAGCGCATGAGTCATGATGTTTTTGATGGAGTTTGTCATGAAGAGTCGCATGCAGTATTTGAACATGTTTTGCCAGCAGTGGCACACGAAGAAGCACATGAGTCTGTTTTGCAAAGCTCTCATTTGTCACAGAATGCCACCTGCGTGAATGATGCGAATCCGATGGACTCAGGCTCAAGCATGCGGTGCGCTTTGCCATTTGTGGTAGCTGCTACCGTGCTTTCTTCGACAACCTCTCCTCCAAGCTCTTCGACTCCAAGCTCGCTTCCCTGGCTTCCCCATGGCGGCACAGTCCAGCGAAGCCACCAAGGCTTTGGCCACGACTCCGGTTCCAAAGACGACAACGAAGAAGAAGGGCACCAGGGTGCCGACACCGGAGAAGTACGACATGAGCCGCAGGGAAGGTCCCGACGGCCGGGACAGCCGGGCACAAGGATTTCCTTGCTATGGAAACCACACTCCGATGCCCGAGGGGCGTGGGAGCCTGTCAGGCAGAAATGGCCATGGCAAATGGACAGTGTGCACTCTATGTCGGCTCCGGATCGAGTACGTGCCGGCGTACGGTGCAAAAGGGTGTTATCGCCAGCCCGGACCCCTTGCTCCAGATGTGACGACCGTCATGGAGCAGGTGAAGGACGACATCAAGGACAAACCAGAAGTCCGGGAGAACCTGAACATGAAGATGGCGAGCACTCTTGGAGCAGAAGCTTCCCTTCGAAAGAAGCTGGAAGTCCTCGAGAACGACAAGCACGAGCTCGACCGGAAGCGGTCAAGCAGGAACAGGACGTAGTCCTCAATGCCTCAGCTCCCAAGAAGACCCTCAAGAGAGAGAATGTCCAGGAATCCGAGGAACAGGAGACAGCGGAATGGGAGAAAGTGACGCCATCTCCCGAAAAGCCGTGAGACACCACATCACTGACGAGACCTATGAGACTGAAGATCCCTTCGGCCAGATCTATGGAAAGCTGACTCCACTGCAGCAGGAAAGCCTCGTGACCTCAGCCGACCACTATCAACAAGAGGCAGAGGAGACCTTTGAAGTGCTCTTCAACACGTCGTCTCAGGTAGACTTGATGGAAGTGTGTTGTCCTCCTGACAGTCGCTTGTCCCAGACATTCCTGGACAACAACCGCAAGGCGATCCGAGTTGGCCTGCCGGCCCATGACCTGTCCAACTCCAAGGACACTGAGGAGATCATCGCCATGATTCATGATTTGAGACCCAAGATGATGTGGATCTCTCTTCCTTGCGGACCTTACTCTCCTATTCAGCACATCTTCAACCAGGCAACTCCTGAGCAAGAAGCAGCACTGCTTTTGAGGAAGAAGAGATCTCGGAAGCTCATTCGCAATGCCCTTCGCCTGGTGAAGACACAGCTTGAAGAAGGAAGACATGTATGTTGGGAATGGCCTCAAAACAACGGTGGCTGGCGACTTCCCGAGCTCAAGGTCCTCTATGATCTGATGAGCCAGTTCAAGGAGACGCACCATGCCCACATCCATGGCTGCGCCTTCGGCGTGAAGAATGCAGTGGGTATGCCTTTGAAGAAACCATGGAAGGTGGTTTGCACTTCACCCTCTATGGCAGCTGCGCTGACTCGCCGATGTCCTGGAAACCACGAGCATGCCGAATGCATTGGTGGGCAAGATGCTCGAAACTCAGGCTTCTATCCAGAAGCCATGTGCCGGACTATCTTTCGCACGGTCCAGTCTATGAACCACTCTCTGGATGGTGGAGCCTTTGCCGAGTCCTTTCCCATCTTCGATGACACCCTGATGGAGGATGAGAAGGAGCTCAACTTAGAGAAACCTTTGAGCGACAGTGAACGAAAGATGGCCATGCAGACTTTGGCCAAGCTACACCGACGCACCGGGCATCCCTCCAATCATGCCCTATCTGGTTGCCTCAAACATCGTGGAGCTCACCATGAGGTGATTGAGATGGCAAAGAAATATCAATGTCCAGAATGTCAAGAGCTTCGGCTAGCTGAGTTGAACCCTTCTGGAGCTCTTCAGCGGTCCGACACTTTGTGGGAAACACTGGTTCTGGACAATGCTGAGATGACCGTCGACAACCAGGTCATCCATTGCATGATTATGATGGACGAGGCCTCACGCCTTGTGTGCCCTCACTTCCTCTTCCAGCATGAGAAAACGGTGAGCCGAAACTGCACGGGCTTTGAAGCTATGCAGGCCATTGAGGAGACCTGGATCAGGCACTATGGCAATCCAGCCGCCATCAGGCTGGACCCTGAGGGCGCCTTCAAGTCCTCAGAATTGGCGCAATGGGCTGCTGAGAGAGGCATTGAAGTTTTGCCATGCGCTGCTGAAGCTCATCAGCAGATCAGCGTGGTTGAGAGGATGATTCAAACGGTGAAGAATACCGTCAAGCAGCTGCTCCAATCCGGAGAGTTTGATGCATGGTCAGCAATCATCCATGCATGCCGCAGTCACAATGAAGGTGAACGCATTGAGGGGTTCACTCCTTTCCAGTGGGCCTTCGGACGAATGCCTACTTTGAGCGGCAGCTTCCATGAAAAGTCGCCCGACCTCCCTTTCTGGACGTCTTCAGGTGTGCCTGGAAGCGCTATGGCCGTGAACCTCAAACAGCGAGTGATGGCACAAAATGTCTTCATGAAGAACCAGGCCTTCGACCAGATCACCCGAGCGGCCAATGCAAAGACCCGCCGACACCAGATCTTCTTACCTGGTGACCTGGTCTTTTTCAAGAGAATCAAACCTCCTGCTCAACCACAGGCATCAGTCAGGATGGCTCACAAGCTGTGGCGCTGGTATGGTCCTGCCCGTGTCCTGGCCTCAGAAACCAGGACCGATGCTCATGGTGCTGAGCGGAAGCCCTCTCACATCGTGTGGATCGTGTCACACGGCAGGCTGAAACGGTGTGCTCCTGAACAACTTCGGCACGCCTCAGAACGAGAAAAGACCCTGGCAGAGCATGCCGACTCACCTACGGCATCATGGACTTTCCATGGCCTCACCAAGACGCTCTACAAGGGTGAATATGAGATTCTGGACAAGCACGTCTTTCCAGAAGACCTGGATGCACAAGGACCACCCCGTGAACGAAGAGCCAGGTCCAGAAGCCGGAACCCCGGCACCCCCGGACCACCAGGCATGGCACCAGGCACTCCCAGAGCACCACAACAGCAACCAGCGACTCCGACAGCACCCCAGAGATCCAGAACCCCGGGAAGAGGGTCAGGAGAGACGCATGAGAGAAAGGTGAAACCAGAAACTGTGTCCAAGGCACTAGCCACACCACAACCATCAGGCACCAGTTCATCCCAGGTTAGCCTGTCCAGATTGGCACGAGATCCAAGATACACACCCGAGCCAGTGCCAAAACCCAGAACTGTTCCAGAACTCTTTGAGCAGCCTATCTTCAAGAAGCAGCGACGCCTGCACCAAGGCGAAGATGAGGCGATGATGGTCAGTGACACTATGACCACGCCCATGGAGGATTTGGCTGACTACGCCTGCGTTCTCTACCTGGACTTGCCAAGCAAAGCCAATGAGTGGAGAAAGATGCGACGAACGCCCATCAACTACTTCGTGAAGAAGGTGCGTGGAGCAGAAATCCAATGGCACAAACTTGATCCCACCGAGAAGAAGAAATTCATGGAGGCAAAACACTTGGAGGTGCAGCAATGGCTCACCGCCTCAGCCGTGAAGCGCATCACAGGCGACTATCCCAAAGATCGCCTAGTGAGAATGCGGTGGGTGTTGACCTACAAAGAGAATGGAGCAGCCAAAGGCAGAATAGTGCTGATCGGGTTTGAAGACCCCGATCTAGGCTCAATTCAGAGCTCAGCACCGACAATGTCCAAACGAACACGCCAGTTGGCCCTTCAGTACTCCAGCATCATGCGCTGGCGCCTGCTCAAAGGGGACGTGAAGTCAGCCTTCTTGCAAGGCGACCCGGATGAAGCAGATAGAGCTCTCTATGCTCGCCCGGTTCCAGAGCTGGCTGAAGCCCTCCACATGAAGGAGAATGAGGTGGTCCAGGTCCTCAAGTCCTGCTACGGCCTGGTGAACGCACCTGCTAACTGGTACTTGTGCATCAGACGCACTCTTGCTGAGCTGAACTTCACACAGAGCCGCAGTGACCCATGTCTCTGGTTCTACTACATGGAGACTGGCGACCCCGAGCGACCCAAAGAGCTGGCTGGCTACATTTGCTCTCACGTTGATGATTTTATCATCAGCGGCAATGAAGAGTGTGAACAATGGGTTGAGGCACTACAGGCATTCCACGGCAGGTTTCGATGGTCACCATGGGAACACCAGAATTTCCTGCACTGTGGCATTCGCATTCGTTAAGAGCCTGACAGCAGCTTCACTCTCGATCACTCGGCCTATTGTGAGGCCATTGAGCAGATCACCTACACCACCAAGAATGAGCATGAGCCTTTGACAAAAGACGAGATGTCTCAGCTTCGGGGAGCACTCGGTGCACTTCAATGGCGGGCGCAACAGACCGCGCCTCACCTGATGGCCCGACTGGGTCAGCTGCAGAGCTCCATCACCAAAGCCAACATTGAGACCATCAAGGCCACCAACAAGCTGATTCGTGAGAACTTCCAGCATCGCTACTTGTCGGCACGAATTAATCAGCTGGGTGTGGAGGATCCCCGATCGGTTCACTTCGTGGCATGGAGCGACGCAGCTCTCGCAAATCGCATCGACCTCAGCTCTACTGGAGGATTCCTCATAGCAGCTACTTCAGAGAAGATGTTGCTTGGTGAGCGTGCTCCTTTGACGCTAGTCTCTTGGCGTTCAAGCCGCTTAGCTCGAAAAGCCAGAAGCAGCTTGGCAGCAGAGACCCAGGCTATGAGCGAGGCAGATCAAGAGCTCCTTTTTGTGCGACTAGCCTGGGCAGAGTTTTGTGCTTTTGAAGTTGATTTGAAAGCCAGCGAGAAGGCAATCTCGCAAATCCCCGGAACAGTTGGCACAGATGCAAAGGCACTTTTTGACATTTTGTTGAAGAGTGATCTCAATTCGGCCGCGGCAGGGTTGCGTGATAAATATTCCGCATTGGAGGTGCTTTGCCTGCTTGAATCCTTGGCAAAGCTAGGAACCAAGGCTCGCTGGGTGCATAGCGACCAACAGCTTGCCGACCATTTGACCAAACCCCTTCCGGCCGGAACACTCCATAAGGTCCTCAGTGAAGGCGCATGGACGTTGGTGTTCGACCCAACCTTTACAAGCGCCAAGAAGGTAAAGGCGGCCATGCGGAACAACTCGAGCCAAAAGTTTGGGGGCATGTCGAATTCTGAGCCTGACCCAACCTTTTTGTGTGAGCTTGACTGATGTTTTGGCTTTCCGTCATTCCGCTTGGCCCAATGCCTTACCAGGGGACCCTTTTGCCGAATCTCCTTTGCAAGCCATGTGTGCTTGACTACGCTACGGCGCTTGAAGGAAAAGCTGGCTTGGTGCGCAGCTTTGTCAGAGGTTTCGGTACCTCTGTGGTTTGTTGGTGCTACAGGTTGCACTTGCATTGATTGGCAGTTGAGGTTGCCATACATTGGTACTTGGGGTTTCGCTCTTTTCACTAGAGGCTACCCTGCTACCGACATCTTATGTAGGACTAGTAATATATATATATATATATAACTTGGAAACCTGATGGGTTTCACGCTGGGCATACGCTGGGCCTACAAGTTATAGGCCTTTCCCACTCTACATCGTCTCCAATGGTTCTGACCCTTACTACAGACTACAGCATGTTTTGATCCACCTACCCAGCCACACATCTGATCCGTTTGAGCAAAACATGGTGGTGATTGGTGGTGAACCCATTTCTGAAACAAGGTCGACCTCGGAGTCGACCGGTGAAAAGGACCTCCGAGACTGTCTATCTCCACCATTATACCTTAGGGCTCCTGGCCCACCTCCTGAGAAGATGGTTGGGGTGGGTGCCAGGGGTCTCACCACCGAACCTGAGGATATATGACAGGAGCCCTAGGGATAGGTCATGCGTCCGAGTCGCTCCCGGATTGGTCGTTTTCACGACCGGTAGCATCCAAGTGACGCTTTTCCTCGCCAGACGCGGATTGACTTCGCCTCACTGGAAGCATCTGGCGTGGGGAAGTTTGTGGTGGTCGGCCCGGCGTCTTAGTTCGACCGAGTTTCGGGCGTCTCAGTCCACGAGCGTGGCGAGGAGACGAACATGTCGAAGAAGAAGAAGAAGAAGATGAGCATGATCTGTCCCCAAACACTCCGGACTGGCATATTTATGGGGTGGTTGACCTGGGGTCTAATGTAGTCATGTATTCCAGTCCCATGGAGTGTGGGTCAACGCCCGCTTGTCCACGGCAAAAGGTTCAAGGATTGTTTGCCCCCTTTGCATATGAGTAAAAGTACGGAAAACACCTAGAGGGGGGAGGGAGTCGAGCGCGATTGGAACGGAAAGTTGATTTATGTCAAGGCCTCGGCAATGTCACTGGAATTCCTGATCATTTTAAGTGTGAAGGCTTCACGCACTGGCATCAGGTTCCCCATCTACCTTCAACGAAAAGAGTGTTCTTTCATCTCTTTTGGATTTGGTTCTGACTGAAGCATCTCGAGTCATCAGGTGATGTGTTCGACACTTCTCGGTTCCTGTCGTATGGGACCTGAGGTACGGTGGCAGTGTATCCCTAGGGCAACACGTTGATAGATCACTAGGCCGTGAAGAGATCGGGATTGGGGTACAGAACTTCCCCACGAAGTGGGGAAATCCAAGTATACTGGATCCTTTGGCAGATCCAACCCCCATGTATTTGGCAGCATAAGAGACTTTGTCATCCTCTCGCACCCCTGGCACGTCCTGGAAACATCGTAATCGCCGACCGCAGGTCTCTAGGAACTAAGAAGCTACTAAGAGCAAGGACGCTACAAATGGGGCTCCTGGCCATACTACTATAGGAACTAAGAGGAGGCTACTAGCTTGGAGCCCGATGCGCTACTCCAACTCAGACCGCAGACCGATGCGCTACTCCGCGCCCAGGGGGCGATCTCGGCTTCTCCGTGGGCCTGTTCACTGGTCTGGCGGTGCTGTGTATCATTGCCCTCATCGCGAGGCGGAGAACAGAACCTGGGCGTGTTGCTGTTGGACATCGGCCGCACAAAGGTCTGACAGAAGCAGGAGAGCCGGCTGGTCATATAGGTGGGATCCATGGTTTCACATTCAATTGAGAAGGGTAGCTTGATGGTTTGTTTGTTTTCTCTCATTGGACCATGGGGATACTGCGTACCACAGCCAGATCCACTTCAGTGGTGGAAGGAAGACACAAAGTGCTACTCCCTTTCAGCCCAACCCAAGAGACACCACACATCTCCGGCACATATTACAATTTATCACATACCAGCACCCTCCAACAGGTCTCCTTGGTGGCTTTTGAACACTTACCTGTAGCAGATGGTGACCTGTTGGAGTGGTAGTGGTGCTGCATTGCCCACCGCATCCGGCTGTCCGGAAGGGTCCCTTCACGGTGGGCCCAGGCCCGAAACTCCGCGCCGCGCCGCATGTGTCAGGCGGATGCTCTTCGGGGGCGAGCTCGGAGGTCCTCAGAAGCCGAAGCTGCTCACCGCAGGTGGGAGAAGAGTTCTTCCGGTCCCTGCCGGTGGGACCGGTTCCCCAGCCAGGGGCGTGTTTCCCCCCCGGGGCGGGTGCCGACGTGTGAATTCTTCAGGACTTCAAGGATCTTCAAACGGAACTTCTGGTGAACATGTGGATCGGTGGGCCCCCCCGGGCCATGCGTTGGATTTGAATCTAGACGATCTAGACAGTCTCCTCTTGGTGGGCTGTTTTGGTCACTTTTTGTCAGACGTTGGGATGATGTCCGCATTGGGTACAGTCGTTACAAACGATATGTTGGGATGATGTCCTACTCCCAGACACTCCATGGCACTGCCATATATGCCTACATTGGGGTGGTTTTGGGGGTCAATGTAGGCATATATGGCATACATGGAGTGTCTGGGACTTTTTAGGGCATATATGAACGAAGTCGGGTCCAGGTTAACGCGTCAACCTTGATGGCGTCAACCGATCACCTGACCAGCGATCACCGGACAAGTCAACCCCAGCCGCCCCAGCCCCCCGATAGCAGCATGTGTGGTATGGCTTGATGACACCATTCGTACTTACAGTGGATTGAGAGTAGATGGCACAGACCCCCAATGTCGGTGGTTTATATGAACCCCCATGTGTTCAGGACATCTGTTCCGGGTTGTCGTGCCACTCTTCGCCTCAGATGGCCGTAGATGAAAGCACCAGGCCCTCAAGTCAGGTAGCGCAGCCTTCGCTCTGTAGATCATCCTATACCCGCTCGGTGCCGCATCGGTCCGCCCCGGACGGGGACGGGGACGAACCAGGCTCTGGACGGAGCGATACACCAGGGTACACCCCCCCTGTGTGCGCAATAGGCAAATAGGATGCAGTCATACAAGGCTTCGGATGGGGTGCCCAGCCCTGTGAGTTCAGAACAGCGAATTCTGGTCAATCCACGTACTTGAGTTACCTGATGGACGCTCGATCGAACCAAAATTCACTGAAAAAACACAGCACCGGAAACATCGCACCAATTCTTCCGCCGACCCGCTTGGACCAGTTGTTTTCAATCATCTGAACATGGCCAATCACACATAAAAACACATACCTGTAGTCTTAGTTCGTATTTGAAGTCTCATATGCATGGGTACCATGTTTTCTATTTATAGGGTATTCTAGGGTCATGTTTGATCTTCTTTGGTACGAACGAGTCATCGTGTCAAGGCATCACTCAGAGGGATCGGTGTCCGGAATTCCGCTGGAACTCGTGGTTTTGCCAGCCTTTATGGTGCTCCTCTGGCTCATCTATGTGATCGTTTCGGCATGGGGCCCCAACGCCGTTCTGGGCAGAGCAAGCAGTCTGCCCAGACCAAGGCCTGGCCTACAGCCGTGCGGCTGGTATGGATAGAATGAATAGTAATAGCAGGGATCTTTCCAGTCGTGTACAAATCAAGTTCGGTCTATGGTGGCATCGACCCCTCTATTTCGAGGGCCATCATGTCGGTCGACGCACGTCTGGTGAAAGGCGCTTCGATCGACGCCGTTCGCCGTTCTGATGAAGCCTGGTGGGAGGAAAGCTGCGGAATACGTGGAGATGGTTCGGTTCTAGATGTTGCCAGTCCATCGCTCAACGTGCAGCCTGTTCCGAACGTATGCGAAAGAACAACAGTTCCATGTTCCTCACGGCCACCCATCGAAGAAGATAGCTACGTTTGAAACACTTGGAAACCCACAGCCCACAAGCAAAAGAAAACGGATATCTACCAAGGCAAGATCGATCTTAATTGTCCGAAGACACTTCAATTTTACAGGGCTGTGAAGAACAACCACAGCTGGAAAGCTTTTTGGCACCAAGGTCACGTCAAGATGGGATGGGTTGTTTGAGTAAAAATGGGCCACTTGGAACTGCTGAAAACCATGCGCAATCTGTTGGCCGTTTTTGAGAAACACCTCTGAAACGTTGAGTGGGAGGGTAAGCCAGAAGTTGCAGGGAGATACTAGAACTTGGTGTTTTGAGGTCAGAAACTTGGTGTTGGAAGTAGACCTTGGTGTTGCCAACTGAAGGGGCCCGCTTCTTGTCAAATGGCTTGCTGCTTCCCCAAATCCTGCACGACACGTCCATCCTCACCCAACACCCGGCTGAGGCGGTTAACATTATCAGCAACAAGGGCCCCTGCGACTAATACGGCGCGCAGCGGCCTCGAAGGTTCTTCCACTGCCAAGCAGCGGATCCATGTATTTTCTTGGTCTCACACTGCCAAGGATCCCCATTTAGGACCAGCAGATGTTGCCTCATGGTAGTGCTACTTACGTCTACTTACATTACAAAAAATAGGAAGTTCAAAAGGGGGGCCTATTCGAGGGTGGGGCTGCCCACTATCCACTCACTTAAGAACCAACAAACATCCTTTGGAACTGCTGGTACTGCTGCATAATATAATATATATAATATAATATATATAATATATAATATATAGTAATATATATATATATATTATAGAGTGGATTGGACTTTGATTGATTCAGGGCTAAACAAGCATGAAACAGATTTGCTGATTTTAGAAACACTTGTCATAGAGGGAGTTTGAGTTCTCCTGTCAATCAACATGTTTCAAATCCGCCAACGATGGTTCCAGTGATGCCAGTCAGACCAATGAAGCCGCAACATCAATGGGTGAGGCCCCGGAACATGGGCACATGCAACAGCAGAGGTCTATCGGGTGCAAGCTACCTTCAGACATTTTGACATGTGCGGCTAGTAAGCTCAGTTGGGGCAGGGCAACTGAAGCATGTATTTTGAGGTCAACGCTGCCTTCAGGGAAGGCGAGTCGTTTGGTATCCTTGTTTACCGGATCTGGTCCGTGGGGGTTTTCGGCGACGCAGAGCGAGTGGGTGGAGACTGGAGGTCAGAGGGCCAGCTGTGCTGAGCATCAAATCGAAGACTTCGATGTTTTTTGCGTGTCTCTAAATCAGGACACGGTCAGAATGAAGGGAGTTTGTGGGTCCCTCGTGTCATTTCATGGACGAAATCTTGGTGTTGGTGAGCGTTCCCTCTTCGCACTGTTGCAGATGCTGATACTCAGACAGTTGCTGCTTTGGGGAGGGCAGATGGATAAATGAGGACATTCAAACTCGGCGTCAACCTTTCGTGAACCGTAATTGCAACCGGAAATTCAACCATGTGTGGATGATGATGGACGGCTTTGTCATGGTTTGTTTGTCCGAAGATCTTCACAAGGTCCATTGGCCGAGCCACGTGGTCTCTCGGGGGCCCGCGCAAGCGAAAAGATCCATTCTGCAGAGACGGTGGGTCAAACCAGGGCATCCGCCTTTTTCATTTCAAACATGCACAGAATAGACTATGCCTACGAATCGACTACTAGAAAGGGCAACCTGCCAGGGCGAAAGGGCGCGGGCCATGACCCACAGGCACATGGGCTCCAAGTCGTATTTCGGTGGTCAGTTGGATGGTACGTTCATGTCAACCAGCCGATCCCGCAGTGCGATCCAGTCTGGGTCCAGTGCCTGGCTGGTTTTTGTTCACACCCAACATGGAGTCATGTCTTTGTATCAGAGCTCCAGTCCTTCATGAGGTCGTTCACTGATCGGGATACATCCAAGACAAACTCTTCTCGGGATAGAGGTTGACAAAAGGTGGACGAAAGTTCCGAGCGAAGGATGAGAATAAATCCCCAGCAGCTGTCCTGAATATGCACCCGGCGTTCAGCACGAGGTCCTACGAACCACATTCACTCCCCCATGGCCTCCATCGGTTGGCTCCATCGATACACTGCACCGTTGATCCGGTGGTCCTGCACCGTTGATGACCGCAGCTGGACTGTTCCCATGGTACGTGGAGGGACCTGGAGGGCTCTGGTCGCAGTCAGGATCATCCGATTTCGCTGGTGGCATGTCGGGGGGATGGGTGGGCTTCGGTTTCAGTGTGGAGTCACTGTGAACTCAACAGGAGCACCCAACATCGCCCAACATGGATGTACTTTTCTTCCCCTTTGACTATCAACAACAATTTATATAGATTCTATAGATTTCTATATATATATATAGATAAAATTTGCATGAGGGCATTGGCAATTAAACAATCATACTGTTCACAATCTTTCGCCTCAAATTCCATCCAATTGCCTGGATGCAATTTGGAGATCATCCAAGATGATCGGAGATCGCTGGTAGAGAAATGCCAATCATTAGCATCTGCGACATATACACCCGGAAGATTAGCATGGAACCTGAACATGGTTTTTGGAAGACTAGCTTCCTCCACAAATCAGGTTCCAGGTTAACCTTCCAGGGCCTACAGGGCCCGACTGTCCATGTTTGGAGGTGTGAGCCGTTTTTCCCGTGCTGGGCACCGGAAGCACTCTATGAATTGATCACTTTGGAATGTGTGTGTTTTAATCGAACTGTTGCAGGCCATGCCACAGACCTGTGTTTTGTTTTCTCCCCGATGTGACTAGTGTCTAAACGCACATGTCATCGCCAGCTTGTTCAAAGTGGCCTTGGTGGGGAGCTCCGGAAAAAGTGATCCTTTACAGGCACAGGCCCAAACTTGTGACCTCAAAACGGAGATCAAAAGCAGGCCTCAAAGGTCACCTTGAATAACCAGGCCTACCTTGAAGAACCAGGAGTATACAGTATGCATAGGTTTGTATCATGAATCCATGAAGAATAGTTTTCTGACTTGGGTGACTGACTGGTGTGAGTTTGGGACAGGTAAGAGTTGGTGGTTCAGCCTTCATTTGGGAGGTTCAAGCCACCAGGTCACCAAGGAGATCAAGCATAGTATGTGTGTATACAAGAGACTGCTTGAATCGAGGATCCAGGACGCCAACCGTGAAAGCAGAACACGTGTGAACCCTGCGTCATGTGTCAAGTGACACGTTGACGTGGCAAAAGAGGCACCATGAGAGATCTGTGGCGGTGAAAGACAGGAAGATATTGTGGTCCCTGAGAAACCCTTCCAACCAAAACAACACCAGATTAGGCCGCACCCAAAAGTTTTCTATGGCGAATGGGGCATCTTTTGGGGGGTCTAGTCGCATACGGCAGGTGTTGCAAGATTTGGTCTTAGCAACAGAACTTATCCAAAGATTCCACTACCAGCACCCGGAACAAGAAGCTACTAGGTGCAGGCAGGTTGGAGGCCATTCCTACTAGTAACAAGGACGCTACTAGTAGTCTTGTTTGTCTTGGGCGATCGACTACAGGTCACGAGTCGTGACACAAGGGGCACAGTCTTCAGCCACCCACAAAGACCGACCTGTTGATCGGTGCCGGGTGCAGAGGTCAGTCCTGGACTTGATGGTTTGAGTAGACTAGTTAGATGGCTCAGACTCCGCTGATGCTGGTAGACCTCAAGATACGCCCTGGAAGACCAAGACTTCCATGGAACCTGAAAACCGCTGGGTTCTAGAGGATCTTCCAAGGGTCCATGAATTCAGGTTCCAGGGTCTTCGATCATCTGAGCCGCACGACTTGGGATATCCCTTCACCCAGTGTAAAGGACCAAAGTGATAATCACAATTCGGGTAGGGTTCACTTGTTAGCCTTCGTGACGGTCTAGTATGCAGAGACATCCCAAGCAATAAGCCATTCATAGGGGGAAATTGATCAGTAGTTCATGTGTTCAGCTGGTAAATTGCTGCAAAAGCAGGATACATATTCACCTAATTGCTCCCCCCAAAGCGGGGTCGGCGGATTAATACTGTATATATTTCTACCGGCTCCCCTTGTATCCCCTACATCATTTCAGCCTGCAAATCTTCCCATCGGTGCATCAGTATCAAGTTTTCTATCTAACAGGTCCATCGCCACGGATTCTCCCCAAAAAGGAATCTCCAACAGCCCCAACAAAGATGGGGCGCGACTCGAGAGAACAGCCGGCCGAATCGAAGAACAGAATGCGAGAGAACAGCTGATAGAAAATCATACCCAGTCAGTACGATGACCACTAAACAACCACTCCTTAGTGGTTGAGAGAACAGCTGATAGAGAATCAACATGTTTTGGGAGTGCTTTCCCCACTAAAATATGTTCCAAGGAAACTGAGGAATCGATGTCCATCGCAGGGAGACCTGAGTAGAAACCAGGAGATAGGAATTCAGTCTGTGAGCAATGAGGAACTCTCCAATCTTGGATGTGGCCGACTTTGACCAGCGATCGGACGGACAACAAATTGTGCGGAGGTGCTGCAAGACTCTTCAAGTTGGTGATATATTGACTGCCTTCAGGTGTACTTTGAGACCCTTAGTCTAAGTTGGTTTGGAGGGGATTCCGAGATTCCTTACTAAACCATTATATTATATAAAGGTTGAACCTTCAGCAAAGGACCTGTGGACAGCCAAGTTACGGCAGATTTCTGGGTTTGCATCCCAAGTGGACCCATGAACCCATGCCAGGAACATCCAGAATCCAGGCGCCATCATCTCACAGTTTGTTTCCATTGTTTAGAGGAAACCTTGTCTACTAGTAGGAGTCTAGCCGTGGTTGAGTATGAACCAAGCCTTGTTGCATTTGGGGTCTTTGGTACGCAAGAAAATGGAACCATGACACACAAGAGAACCTGGAGTCTCAGTTCGTACCTCAGAAAATATATGAGGCCCCAGTGATACCAGTGTTTTGGTTCGAGTGATGTCCCAAACAGGAGAACAGGAGAATCCTTTTTGATCCTTTTTGGCTGTTTTTTTTGTTGAATTTGCTTGGCCGAGTCGATGAGAGACATCCACAACATTCCACAACCACCCAAACGTAGATCCATCCATTCAGCCGCATGAAACGGCCGAAGGCGATCACCCCAAAAAACGTCCACCAGGATCAAGACTTTCCAGGTTTCTCCATGTGTGGATATGCCTAGATCGACAACAAGTCAACCACCATGATGTAGGTATAAATATGTCAGTCCCAATTGTCGAGTCAGGGGTCTAGAGTCAACATGAGTTTAAAGCCAGAGCTTCCAATAGCTCATCCCCTCGCTCCCTTGAGAAACACGCACCAGCTGGGTCAACCGGATGTCAAGTGCCCTCATGATGTCGGTGTGGAGGGACCGTGCGGCGCCGTTCGGCCACGCAGGCGGCCAACAGCGCGAATCCTGATCCCATGCTGGGTGGAGGTGGGTCGACCGCGTGTTCAATCACTGGGTCTCAGGCAAGAGCCAATTGGACATCGG